ACCCCATGCCCATGGGTCTATGGAGAGCTGGAACAGAGGCACCCTTCCAACCCAGGACAGTACCCGTGATCTCCCTGTTTTGGCAGGTAGTTCTACTACTCTGATTTGGCGTGGGTTGTTCCATATTAGCACCCTTTTTTCATTTATGAGTTCCAGCTCGTTGGACAGTTGTTTGCATCTCCACCTCTCGACTCTTCTGAAACCACTTGGCAGAATTTCTACCACTTTCCAGACCACTTCCGGCTCTTCTTCCTCCTCTGCCTGGTACCAGGTGTTCGGCGGATCGAGACCTTCCGGGCCCAACAGGGTTAGCCAATCTTAAGGGATGACTTTAATCAGCGTCTGCCAATGTTCCTCTATCCTCCTCAGTCCCTGCAGTTTAGCTCTCACTTCCCTTAGGGGTAGCCATCCTCCCAGTAAGGCAGACCACAAATCTTTGATACGCACCACCCCTCTCGTTATCCAGGCCAAACCAAATGTCGCTACAGAGCCATCCGCCTTGAATGTGTTCCCGTCTTGATCCACTATGTTTGGATTCTCAAAAAGAATCTGCATTTGGACTTCTTCCTTTGTCTGAGGTGGTTGCTGTGAGTCTGGAGGAACCTTGTTACATGCCTTTCTTATCGTATTCCAAAAAGTGGACTTCAGTCTCTTCTTCCTGATAGACTTGATGAAGAAGCATGCCCAGACATCTTCCGGCCTGCTTAGTTCCCACTCCGACACGAGGATCCTCTCCGCCAATTCCACCCAGTGTTCCTTGTAGTTGGCAGCTGCCACTTTGCAGATCCAGGACCGTAGTTGAGCTTGGTTGCGCCTGTCTGGGTCTAACAACCCCAACCCGCCTTGGTTCCGTGAGAATGTGAGAGTTTCCCATGCAATCTTCACCAGGAAGCTCTCGTTCTTCTTCGCTCTTGGCTTCCACAAAAAGCGGGCTACCATCCTTCGGATTACCGTGAGTACTCCTTCAGCCAATTCCCTAACTGTAGCCACGAACCATAGGATGGAGAACAGCGCTGCGTTCGATACCAGAGCCCGACCAATGATAGAGAGATGCCATGTCGAGCCCCAGAGGTGCAGTCTTGCTGCTATCCGGTGCTGTAACAAGACTCCCTGTGTTGTGAATTCCACCTGCAGACTGACTAGGACTCCGAGAAACCGTTCTTCCTCCCCTTCTTCGACCCTCTTCATCCCCCACTCGATGCTTAGTTGGTAATCGATTGGCAACAGGTAAGTGGACTTGTTCCAGTTTACCGTTGCTTTCGAGAGGGTTGAGTACAACGCCATTGTCTCCTTCAATGCCACCAGGGAATCTGCAGAGTTTTTACACACTGCGAAGAGGTCATCGGCGAGTGCCTTGACCTTGCACTCTTCCCCGCTGTTAAGCTTCAGACCTCTGATCCTTGGGTATCTCCTGATCCTGTTGAGGAGGATTTCCATCTGCAGAACGGATAGCTTGGGGGCTAGCGGGCAACCCTGTCTGAGGGAACGTGTGAGCTTGAACGAGGTTGATAAGTGACCATTGATCATTATAGCCGAGGTGGCCGCTGTGTACATGGCCCCTACCCACTTACAGAACCCCTCTCCGAAGCCCATCCTCTTCAGCGACATCAGAACGAAGGTCCACCCCACTTTGTCATAAGCCTTTTCCAGATCAATGAGAAGAACCGCTGAGTCCAGGTTTTCGGACTGAACTATCTCCAGGACTTCAATGGTCGTGATGATATTGTTGAAGATCGATTTCCCTTGTACAAATGCACCTTGGTCTCTTTCCACCAGCCCCGATAAGTGCTTCGCCAGTCTTCTTGCGAGGGTCTTTGCTAGGATCTTATAGGATACGTTCAACAAAGATATTGGCCTCCAATTTTTGACGTCTGCCTTGTTACCCTTCTTGAAAAGGACTGCGATCACTCCGTGAGTCATGCCTTGTCCCAGTTTTCCGCCGGACAACACTTCGTTATACAACTCTACCATGATTGGGTCAATCGTGTGTCCCACATATCGGAGAACTCGGAAAGATCTGTGTCGAGGTGGTCCTGCGGTCGTCTTCTGTAAGGATGTCCTCATAGTATGTCCTGGCGTAGCTTAGCATTCCGGTTGCCGTAACTGCTCTTGGCGCGCTGTCGTCAAAGGGGTGCTTCAGCTCCACCATCTGCTGCTGCATTCTTCTTGGTTGCACCGTTTTCTTCGTCATCTTGTCGTGCACCTCAATGCCCTTCTCCTTGAGGACCTCCGTCCATCTCTTCTCCTTGTCGACTTGTAGGTTTTCCCATTCAGCCAACCTTTTCTCTCTCTCTGACGGCCATACCAACGCAGATATGGGATGCCCTTCCATCCTCTCCTCTGCCTCCTCCACCCTTCTTCTGCATTCCGCTTCCCTCTTGTTCCTTGTCTTGGCTAGGATTTTGGAGCACACGTTCATTATCCTGTAAGATATGGCAATCCCGCTGTCCAGCCAATCTGCAGTCGATTTGAAGTAAGGTTTTGCAGACTCTCATCCCTTCATGTGATTGGCCACCCATTTTACGATCCCGAATCCTCTAGGTTCTGGGCATTTAGCCTGAAGAAGCCCTTGCCGCGCTCCACTGAAGTCTGTAACTTCACTTCAGCTACCACTGGCTTGTGGTTCGACAGCGGGTGACAAATGTGCTGCACCGCCGTGATACTTTCTAGCGCATTGTTACTCCATGCCCATCTTCCCCACAGGTCCGCTTCCGTGTCTATTATCCTTACTTGAAGGTCCCTGTGTAGTAGTATGCCCACCCCTCCTCTTGTCTCCTGTGCAGGGGCCCATATCTGTGGCCCATTCCACCAGTTCCCTAACTCCTCTAGCTTGGTCTCGTTCAACTTCGTTTCTTGAATCAGTAGGCAGTTTATTCTCCAGTCATGTACCCAACTCTTGATTCTCCTCTTCTTCGATCTTCCGTTCGAGTCCTCCAGCCCTCTCAGATTCCATGACGCGATCTTCAACCTATCCATTGATGTTGGTTGTTCCCGCTTGAGTTTGGATGCGGTCTGTGACATGCTGTACACTCTGATGGCACTCCCCTGCAGCCTCGGATCTTGAAGAAGAACTCCTGGCCATGCATACCGATTTGATGCCCTAATTGTTGCGTGACGAGTTAACTTGAGAGGATGAGCTCCACTCGTTAGTGAGCATTCTGTGCAGGAACAGCGAGTGCAGATTCTCTTCTGTTCCGAGCTTGTCATTCACGTTAAGTAAAATCAGTGCACTGATGCCTGGCACGACTGCTATCTCCCCCAGCTCTGTGCTGTTGCGCTCTCTAATCATGTCGACATTGTACCATCGGACTCCCGACTGCGTCAGCGATTCAACAATCTCCGGAGGTATGCGTGCATCCAGAAGCGGAAAGTAAAACTTGTAATAGCCTTCGCTCATCTCGCAGATCATACTCACCATAGTTGAGCTTGGAATGATGCGGACGGGGATGTGGGTACCGTACAGACTTCTAGTCTTCTCCATGATTGTGGCCGGAGTGGGAGCCCGCTCCACCTCTGCAGAGGGAATCACGGGTTGTCCGTTCGGATCTGCTAAGGCTAGGAAATAAGTTCCATCGCTTGCGCATGTGCAGACCAGCGGGATCAGCCTTCTTTTGACAGTTTCTGAGTGTGCCCTGTGAAGGGTATCCGCTCGTTTGCTCTTGTCGGGGCATAGGCGCCTAGTAGCGTTGTCTGTTTCTCTAGCCTGTGGCCTGGATTGTGCTGAGCTTTCCATCGACGAGGAGGAAGCCTCTTCCGATAGGTGCCGCAAACTTTTCTCCCCGCCTTGTACCTCACTGTCCATCCTGATCCGGGACTGAGAGGATACTGATGATCTTGAGAGTTCCACTTGTGCCCTCTCCTCGGGTACGACCGTCGGTCTTTTGCCATTTCGAAATTCTCTCTCTGCTCTCTGGCTATATACCGGTCTTGACTGTCATGTGCTGCCTTCTGCCCACCTTCTCCCCTGCAGGTCCATTCTGTCCCACCTGTGTTCCGGCGCCGCATGCTCTCTTTCCTCCCTCCCTTCTGCAGGGTACCAAGGTCCTGCCCCCTGTTCAGGGTAGGCGTTTGCCTGCCATGCCAGTTGGCCCGCCAGCTGGTTCCAATCCTCCTGCATCATAGGATAGCGAGGTTGCGGTCTCTCGATCGGATGATATGCGTCTGTTTGGACTGGGTACAGCGACTCTGAGGTACTGCCTTGGGCACTGGGCCCCTAGACAAAAAAGAAAAAGAAACCAGACAAAAAAGAAAAGAAATAAGGACCAACAACACGAGGGTCACCACTGGGGTAGGTCCTGCCAACGGTGCTCAGAAAGAACGATCCTGGTCTTGAAAGCGGCCAGGTTCGTTCTTCTGACCAAAACTAAAAACGGACCATCGTCCAGTCTCGTGCTGGTCAGGCGAAGCGAACGGTAAGGCTACTGACCAGCGGGGGCAGTCCGACCAGCGAAAGCCTAGCACAGGGCCTCGGGCTGCACAACTCACCGCACCAAACCAAACCAAATTTGCAAAATGTCGGGTGTACCTTTCCGTAGAGCTTGGAAAGATTCGTCGCCGTAGATTATTTCGTTTCCGCAGTTGTTGTGAAGGGGTGCGGGCAGGCCCATAGCCGACCTATTCAAGTTCCAAGGAGGTTATGTAGCCGCACCGTCGCAAAGCAGCATAGCAACGAGGCGGCAGTCAACACGCATCGTCGGTACTACTGGTAGTAGGCGGGTAGGGTGTGTAGTAGTGGCTGGCGGGTTGGCGGGTCAACACCCGTCTCGATCTGCGAGGTGGCCGAGTGGCGGGAAGATTTGGGGGATTTGGGGTGGCCGAGTGGTGGGAAGATTTGGGGGATTTGGGGTGGCCGAGTGGCGGAAAGATTTGGGGGATTTGGGGATTGATATCGAAGGAGGAGAGGAGATTGAGAGGAAGAGATTTTGGCGGGAACGAAGTGGAAAAGAGAGATCTGCCCTGTCGAGGTTGGGGCGGGAAAGTCGGGCCGGAAAAGGGTGTGCGTGAGTGTGCCAGGACGTTCTACGAATCACATCCCTTCCCCAGGTCTTGTCGAAGATCGCCCGCCATCACTACATCCCTATTACAGAACGCCGGCCATCGCTCCATTCTCGTTGAAGCAGATCGTCTGCCATCGCTCCATTGCTATTGGAACAGATCGTCCCCCATAGCTACATTGCTATTGGAACAGATCGTCCCTCATAGCTACATTCCTGTTAGAGCAAACCACCTGCCATCGTTATCCGTGTTTGAGATTGCCCATCGTCGCCGTCGTTGTTGGAGATCGACCACCATCGCTGCTCGTGTCGGAGATCGCCCGCCATCGCTAATCGTGTTGAAGATCGCTCGCGAGTGGAGGAAAGACAGGGGAGGGGGGTGAGACAGAGGAGGAGGGGGGAGACAGGGAGGTCAACATGCCGGAGCTGCAGGCAGACTCCGTCGCCAAGGCATCGATTTCGCTTCCGACGCATTTGTACAGACTCCTCCACAATGGTACAAGTGAAACGGACCAATAGCTCGACCTTGGCTTTTTTTTTTGTACCCCGCTTCTTATATCCACCGTCCGTCTCCTCCCCTTCGCCCTCTCTTTGTCTTTCTCTCTCTCTCTCTCTCCGTGCTTTTGCACCTCCTTCTCCCATATTCTTCTCCCCTAATCTCTGCCCCTCTCCGTCTGTCCCCAGATGCATGTACACGACGAATGCTCTCACACACTCACACACTCACACACTCACACACGCACACACGCACACAAGCGGAGAGCTATTTTCTCTCTCTCTCTCTCTCTCTCTCTCTCTGTGCTTACACACCTTCTCCCTAGTTCTTTTTCTTATAATCTCTGCCCCTCTCCGTGCTTCCCCAGATGCACGTGGATGACAAATGCTCTCACAGACGCACACACGCACACGTACACAAACAGAGAGTGCGTGGCAATCAACCCTTTTTTTGAAAATTTTGTCGGCGGTGTGTATTAGGGAATAGGGAACACACGGGGAGATATACTGTATTAGCCAAACAGATATGCACAGGTAATCGAGCCCACAAGACGGGATTCGATCCCTCCACGTCCTAAGGGTGTATCTTCAGCTTAGGGAGAGGGGGTGGGTGAGTCCGAAGGGCATCGGTCAAATTATCTTGGACGGACTGAATGTACACGCTTATTTGCCGTTCTTTTTTTTTTTTAATAATGAAATTTAATCTCCATTTTCTGGGAGTTGGACTCTACGTGAACTCGTGGCCTTCCTTTCCCTTAGGTCGGACGTGGCGGCGCTCTGTGCCTCACTTCACTACACAGCACACTATATGTATCGGGAGCTTATAATCGTCCTGATACGTTGGAAAGGTTGGACTCTTCCTAATGCATGTGGTCCAGAAAGGCATCCAAATGCTTGTAGAATGTTGAGTAGCGGAGCGAGGCCCTATCATTTGTGGTTCAACGGGGAAAGGGGGAAGGGTTGTCTGCAGGTACTATTTCGTAGCCAGATGTGAGGCGGGGGAACCGTCCAATCAATTGATCATAGATCGACCATCGTAGCCCCCAATCAATTGATCATAGATCGACCATCGTAGCCCCCCCAAAAATATTCTTTCTTTTTATTTGACTTCTTTTTAATCCCATGAGGGGGACAGTCCGTTCAATTCGTGGACCTATCAGGCGTGCATTTACATCCGGCGCAGAGTGCGGTACGATCCAATCTCGGACTTGCCCTCCCCGCCCCCCGCCCCCCGCGCCCTTCCGAAAAAAAGGGGAGGAAAAGAGACTCTAGAAATTTCTTCATGTCATGCAGTCGGTCGCAGCCAAGAAAATAATTTCATCGATCAAGCAGTCAATCGATCAGTCAATGGATCAGTATGATCGACCAATCCATCAATCCAATCAATCCATTAATCCAATCAATCAATCTAACCAATCCAATCAATCAATCAATGAATGAATCAATCAATCAGTATGATTGACCAATTAATCATTATGATTGACCAATCAATTAGTATGATAGACCAATCTACAAGTAAAAAAGAAAACAATCGATCAATCGATCGACTGATAAGGGAAGGGATCGAGGAATCGCCGATGACGTGGCAATCGTTCAGTGGTTGAATCTGAGCGGTCGAAAAAGAGACTTCTGAGATCTTTAAGTTACAGTAATTCGTGTTACGCTATAATTAATGAGCTTCCTAAATCTGAAACCCGTGCGCAACGAACTTGTCCTCATCTGTCTTAACGCAGCGTGCGCTTGCAATTGACACGTGGACATATACACAGAGTGGCTCTTCGCTGCTGCCAACGAGGTTTTATCCAGAGGAGACGAAGGGACTATGTTGGCGATTGGTGACACTGGCGGGTTGATTCTCTCGGATTGGGATTCGTGGTTGAGGATCCCTGCGGCCTGCTGTGATTCTTCGTCAGCACTTTGACTGCGTGCATCGGCGAGCCCTCCTCCTCCTCCTCCTCCTCCTCCTCCGCCTTCTCTTGGTTGTTGAAGTTTGTCTGGTATTCAAGTTGTGCTTGGCGATTTGAAGTTGTCTTAGCTTTGTCTGCTCAAGTTTTGTCTGTTCCCTCTTCAGCCTGCTGTAGTTCGTGGCTTTTTGTGTTGGTGTGTTTTTTGAGGGGGGTAAGGTCCCCGGTGCTGAGGAGGAACTGCGGGAAGGAGGACAGATAAGGTCGGGGCCGCGGCATCAAAGCGGAAGGCGGAAAAACTGTTTTCACACTTGACAGACTTTGGGGCACACCTCGGCGCAGAGGACAAACTGTCTCACAGAGAGAGAGAGAGAGAGAGAGAGAGAGAGAGAGAGAGAGAGAGAGAGAGAGAGAGAGAGAGAGAGAGAGAGATTGTTTGGCGGCGGTGGCATCGAAGCGCGAGGCAGAAAAACTGTGTGACACGGGTCAGTTTTTCAGGCACTAATCGGCACAGAAGGCAGAGAGGCTGCGTGTGTGTGCGCGTGTGTGCGTGTGTGCGTGTCTGCGTGCGTGTGTGTGCGTGTGTGNGAGAGAGAGAGAGAGAGAGAGAGAGAGAGAGAGAGAGAGAGAGAGAGAGAGAGAGTGAATGTTAACCGCTGGAAGTGGCAGACCGGGGAGCAGACACTGGTGGAGGCGACGAAGGGGTGCGATACGCATCAGTTTTTCCGGCTTGGTCATGGCGTCCGTCGTCGGTATCGCTCTCCTCTTTTTCGTGCTGGAGATGGTCTCCATGTACGGTGGCCACCGTTTTGGAGGTGGATTGGTCCTTGGGCAGATATTGCAGGGGTGCCGTGAGGGGGAACACTCCCGATGTGATCCGTTGGTTGGTGGTGGTCTCGATCAAGTTGTGGAGCGGATGCTGGGTAATGGAGAGCACCTCAAAGAAGGTATCGACCAGCATTGATATTTTGATTAATGAATGAACTTCATTGAAGTAATTAATTAGAAATTGATTATTGCTAAACAGTGGAATGCGTTCATTGTCGTTATTACTTATTATTATTCATTTCATTATTAGTTTTAAGGTTATTAAACGGATTCTGTAGCAATGATTATTCCTGGGCCATGAGGATAAGGATGTGGATAGGGGGGAAAAAGAAAGTGAAAAGGAAGCAAAGGCTAGGGAGGATTTGATCATATTTGAGAATGATGATGTGATCATCGTCGCTATCTTCATGCTTCGAAATGGTAATCATTATATAGGAACAAGAATGATATCGTAAAGGAAACGAGTGTCGAAAAAAAAAGACGAACACAGTAATACACCAGCCCAAAAATAACGTGGTAATTTGGTAAAAAAAGAAAGTAGAAAAAAAAAAGCATGCTGTAGCGAATCTCCGCCGGAAAAATAAAGAGCGGTTGGAAGGAAACGCATTTGCCCTGTACTGCCTCGTAACAGACACGTGGCAGACACGTGGCAGACACGTGGCAGACACGTGGCAGACACGTGGCAGACACGTGGCAGACACGTGGCAGACACTAGCGAACCATCTATGAAGTATCGTTCAGTCATCGATTTGAAACGTACGTTTTTTTTCTTCTGCGACCCGCTGCATTGAAAGACTCGAATTGATAATTAATTTCAGAAGGGGGAAAAAAAGGACGAAAGAGAAATTGACACGTGGTAATTAATAAAATTGTTAAATAAACTGAGATATGGAGTTACGCATGAGGAAAAAGGAACTTTTTTTTTTTTTTTTTTCTGTAACGTGATGTCACTAGATGTGACGAAAATGACAAGCATGGGGGAGGGATGGGGGGAATCCCCGGAGAGGGGGGGGGGGGGGGACGAATGCACTGGAGTATAAAGGGGGGTCCGGTGTTGTCGACTATACGAGGGAATGACAAGGGAAGAAAGGGGAGGGTCGGGTAAAAAAAAAAAAAAAAAAAGCCCATCGGTAGAGGTAGCTGTGAATTTCGACGTGTTCTTGAATACTGGTAGTCTTATCCGTTTTTTATTCAATTTCAATTTATCCACTTTTCAAAAACGTATTTTATCCTTTTTTTAAATATATTTTATCCACTTTTCAAAACCTTATTGGCCGACGTTTGTGAACTGTATCTGATCATTTTCAATCCATTTCTCCGCCTATAAGACCCTCGCTCCACTACTCATGAAATGGGCAAAATGAGAATGAATCTTCCGCTAGAATGTGGGAAGATACACCGCCATATTTTTTTTATCCTTTTCGCATGTCGTGAGGTCGTTAAGTTTCCGTTTCTCGCTTCTTTTGACTGCTACCACGGCAGTATTCCGCGTATTTATTTTTAATATTATTTATGTATATATCAGGGGGAGTTGTAAGAAAGAAGATAAAAAAACGAATGATTTTTTTCTTGTTTTCTTCTGTTTTCTTTACCTTTGCGCTCTGATATTCATGTGGCGATATATTTTAATCTGCGTAGATATTGTTGGACACTGTAATGCGAGCGGAGATGAAGATAGGGGGTAGAGCAGTGGATGATCCGTTGTTACTGTGAACAAAATAGAGTGTGGCTCGTTAATGTCACGAAGTGGTGGAAACCGTCTAGATACATTGCGGAAGAGTGTGGATAGCTCGATGATCCCAGTGTTGAGGTATGGTTTATCTGATCAGCTTACGTGGGTCGTACATGGTCGGACGTTAAAGTAAGCGGTCGTCAGTCGTCAAATCGGCTTATCTGGGGCGTATTTGTCGTACGTTGATGTAAGTGGTCTTACGTTCACGTAAGCGGTAGTCCGATCTGGTTACCTCGGTCGTCCGTTAAACGTTAAGCGGTCGTTTGATCTGCTTACGGGGGTCGTACGTTGACGTAACTGGTCCTCCGATCTGCTTATCTGGGTTGTACATTGACGTAAGCGGTCGTACGTTGATAGAAGTTGTTGTACGTCGACGTACGTGGTCGTACGATCTGCTTATCTGGGTCGTACGTTGATGTAAGTGGTCCTCCGATCTGCGCGGCTGTGATGGGACCGTGATGTGACGATGATGGGCCAATGACGGGACAATGATGGGACTTCGATGGGATTTCGATGGGACTCTKATTGGACTTTGATGGGACTTTGAGGCTGTGATGGGACCGTGATGGGACGATGATGGGCCAATGACGGGACAATGATGGGACTTCGATGGGATTTCGATGGGACTCTTTTTGGACTTTGATGGGACTTTGAAGAGGATATTGATGGGATTATGGTGGGACTATGGTATATGGGACTATGATATGGGACTATGATGAGATTGAGAAGAATTTGTGGATAAGGGTTATTATGGGCCAATGACGGGACAATGATGGGACTTCGATAGGATTTCGACGGGACTTTGATGGGACTCTGATTGGACTTTGATGGGACATTGAAGAGGATTTTGATGGGATTATGATGGGATTATGGTGGGACTATGGTGATGGGACTATGATATGGGACTATGTTGAGATTGAGTAGAATTTGTGGATAAGGGTTATTATGGAAGGGGGCGAGGGACGGGACTTACGAAGGAGGGGTTTGGGATGGTGGGGAGGATTGGGATACGGGCAGATATCATATAACGCGTCGCTGAGCGCATTTTATTTGATCCGGAATTTCTCAGGTGCTGGTAACTCCATCAAAGGCCTCTTTTCTTTTTTCTTTTTTTTTTGGGCAGTAACCGTAAACATTGTGATGATTTTGATACGTACGCTCGAATGGTTGATGTTTCGTGACGATTTTTTAGGAATGCAGATTTGTCGCATCTGGAGTCGCTCTGCTGTGCTCTTTGTTTTTCCTCTCTTTTTCAGTGTCTATCTGTTAATACGTTCTGCACCATCGATTTTTTTTTAAAATAAATTAAAATAAATTATTTTAGTCACATGTAGCAATTCTTATGTTTTGTTACAGGTATTATCTTATCCCATATATGTTTTATTACAGGTATTATCTTATCCCATATATGTTTTATTACAGGTATCATCTTATCCCATGTTTTATTACAGGTATTATCTTATCCCAAAAAAAGGATATGAATTTACGCAAATGGATTACAGCTCTCCGGTTTTGAAGAAAATGAAGGCGACGGAAGAAGGTTATGAGCCCAGCAGTGATCAATTGCATGCCCACAAAATGAATTGTATCCTTTTTCTTTCACTCTCGGTTTTTGTGGGAGACGAATAGGTTCCCCGCAGACTACGGCCCCGACAACATTTCACAGTACGCCACGTAGGAGGGCATGATGATGGTATTTAATTATGGTAACGAGTATGTGAAAAGAAAGAGAAACGGCAGAATAAGAGGGAAAAAAGGGAAAAAAGAAGGAAAAAATAAAGGGGAAAAAAGAGGATTAAGAAAGGGAAAAAAAGGGGGGAAAAAGAGGAAATAACGAGTTTGTGAAAGAAAAAGTGAAAGGGAAAAAGAAGGGAAAAAAGGGAAAAAAAAGGGGAAAGGAAGAAGGGAAAAAAAAAAAAGGGAAAAAAAAAGGATAGAAAGAAAATAGAAAGACAATGAATTGTATGTATAATTATTACTATAATAATACAATGAATTGTATTGTATAATAGTTGTATATATGTTAATTTTTATGTAAAGCCGGGACATTCGTTCAAATTGGAACGACACAGAGAATTTGGACAAGATTAGCATGGGCAAAACACACATGCATCACACGCAGTTCACAGCACACGAGACAAGTAAATTATTCTCCTATTTTGTAATGACGTTATTATCTCAAAAAAGAAACTCACCTATTTTGAAAATTGTAGTAATTCTCAAATAATAACCGCCTGCGAAAAAACTGGCCACATACGAAGTCGCTCGTGGGTTGCCTGTGGATGATAGGGACGCCGCCGGGACCGTTTCCCATTTTATTTGTTTGATTATAAAAGGAAATGAGAGAGGAAAAAAAAAACTTAAAAAAACAAGGAATGGTCTTGGCAGACGTTTACCTCCTCTTTTCGCTTTTTTTTTTGTTTTTGTTTTTCCCTGCAGAAAAATGGTATTGGCAGAACAATTACTGGTAAATGTGAATCCGGTCCGGTGAGCAAAAGTTGCAGTTTTTTTTTTTTTTTAACCATTCTTTTTCCGTTTTTTGAAAAGTAGGGTCTTTTTTTTTTCTTCTTAACCGTTCTTTTTCGTTTTTCAAGATTTGAAAAAAGTGACAATATATTACGCAAGGGGCCCTGGTGCTTTTGAGGGGAAAAAAAGGGGGTGGGGGGAGCAGGTCCGTAGGCAGGCGGAAATAGGCCTCGCCGCACCACTCGTCAAAGGCAATATTCTACATGTATCGGGACAATAACAGGTCCAGACACGTTGAAAGAGTTAGTGTGGCGCCGAGGCCCAAAGTAAGGTCGGGATCCCACTTCTTGGCGTTGCTTGGCGTTGCTTGGCGCCAGGAAAACATCCGCCGGCCCAAAATCGTCGTACCCGACGGGAATGGGCACGAGCGAAAATGGACTCCACCGCCACAGCAACTTTTGGCACTCCCTGAGGTTTCTGTTACCCGATGAGGACGCCTTGGCTTTTCGGGCCAAAGATTGCCTCGGCCTTTCCAGCACACACCAACCAATCCCGGTGCTTCCTTTCCGTCCGCACGGGATGGGTGAATCTAGAGGTCGGCAAAGGCACCCTCTAGATTCAGGCACCCTCTAGATTCTAGAATAGTTGAAAAACCTGACAATTACAATCAAATTCAGCGCATTCGTGAATTAAAGCCTGATTTGGCTATTACTGGCATGGCTCATGCGAATCCTCTAGAGGCTAGAGGAATCATCCCGTGCGGAAAGGAAGCACTGCGATCGGTTGGTGTGCTGAAAAAACGGAGGGGAAAAGAAAAGGAAAAAAAAAGGGAAAAAAAAAAAAAAAAAAAAAAAAAGAGAAAAAGAAAAGAGAAAAGAAAAAGCGGAGGTAGGAAAAGCTTGCGTCTGCCGCCAGCAGTGGAGTGCCGAAAATTGACTTCCAAAGGCTGGGCGCCGGCCAGTGGGGGTCCCGGCCTAAGATCTTGGCAGTCTACCCTCTGCCAAAACGAAAAACAACAAAAAAAAGAACGTGAATTTTTTTTCTTTTTTCTTTTTGGTTCACTCGATATTGTGTATGTAGTATGGCATTAGGATCTCAGATCATTTACATCAATTTTTTTTATTTTTTTTTTCCCCAATGAAACATTGAAACAGCGATTACTTCTTTTTATCTCACGAGTAGAGGTACTTCTGATTGAAGGTTTCTCCTTCGAGTACATGTTTTTTTTTTTTTTTTTTTTTTGAATAGTATATATATGTGCATTTGTCGACTTTTGGTAAATTGTGTTTTGTGCTTCAGGGAAAAGAAAAGAGCCAGCATATGGTATGCTGCAAGAAAAATTAAAAGAAGGTAAAAAAAAAAAATCGCGACTCGTGATCCGTTATTACAGCCATAAATAAAGGTATTTGGCGAAATCCAGAAACGGACCGAAAAGTTTCTGCGGTGTTTTGACTTGCTTTCCCAAAGCCCGCCGTGTCCCTGCGGAGCTTTGATGACAAATAAAATTCTGCCTTTCGTAATGCATGTAGTACGAGAGGTGGGGGGGAAATAAAAAATCGTTGTTGGAAATCGAGAGCAGTTGTGGGGATGTGGCTACACCTTCGACAAGGGAGGGAGTTGATTTCTTTGCCAGTTTTTTCTCGCTCTCTCTCTCTCTCTCTCACACACACACTTTTTCTCTCTCTGTCTGAGAGCTATTCTATCTCCCTCTCTCTCTCCCTGAGAGCCAGTTGTTCTCTCTCTCTCTCTCTCTCTNGAGCTATTCTATCTCCCTCTCTCTCTCCCTGAGAGCCAGTTGTTCTCTCTCTCTCTCTCTCTCTCTCTCTTCTCTCTCCCTCGCTCTGATTTTCAACTTCTTTGCCGTTAGGTTTTATAGATTTGGTCCCGCTCTGTCGTTTCTTTATATTGGTCGCAATCACTCGTCGTACGACACGTGGCGTGAGGCCACGCATCCGAGATCGCTGGGATCGGGACTTCCACAGCAATGCCAATACTGCGAGATCTTTCCGCCGTCGGGCGTATCCGACGTGCCACCGCTGTGCACGCTTTCGAACTTACGTCTCGTCTCTCCTCCCCAGTGAGCCGTGTGATACCTGCAGGCGCCGGGATGGTTCTGATCGGGATCGTACGGTCGCTTGCACTGTCGACACGTAAGCATCACCTTGCGGCGGACTGGAGAAGAAGACGATGATGACGTGGCACCGTCTCTACCGTCATTTTCGCAGATGGCGCGAGCTCGAGTTCCTCTCCGGTTCACTTTCCCTCGACGTACGGTCATTGCCGCTATTGCGCCACGTGGCGAGTGGTCATTGCTCGTCGGAAGAAAGAGCGGAGTCGGCGCTCCGCCGTCGAGGCGTTGCCGTCGTTGACACGTCGGTAGGGCTGCTGAGATGGCACTCCGTGAAGCTGAGCTGGCACTCTGCTGTCGATGATGTTGATTCCCGTCGCTCTCCTCGTTCGACTTACCCTGTCCAATCCTGACGGTCGGTTTTGGCGGGAACACTGCCACGTGGCGCTCCGGATTTACAGCGTGCGGTTTTGGCGGGAACACTGCCACGTGGCACCCCGAAGTGAAAGCGTCTACTCGCCACGTGTACGTCAATGCACTTCCTCTGGACACGTCAGAAGCTCGATTAGCTCTGCTGCCACGTGGTGGCACCTGGTGTCTGCTCCTTTCTGCTGCGCCGGAGACGATTCCGCTCGCGGCAGATTCGGATACGGCGGCAGCCATATCCGACGCGGCAGATATGGTCTCTTCCCTTGTTTTTAAAAGATAGTTATGATGTACGTAGACTGATTATTGTCTATCTACATGCGAAGATTGGATTATTACTCTGCCTACATCAGAAGACTATTATCTGCCAAGCCTAAAGACAACAGGAGACCGTTGATGCTTCGCAAGAAGAGGACATCTGGAGATTGAAATGGACGGTGGCGATTCTCTCTCCCCGCGATCTTGGAGCCTACCAGTAGGTAGCCTCCGCTCACGTGATAAAGCGGGCCGTATCCCCCCCCCCCCCTTCTCCCGCACCCCCCCCTCCCTCTTTGCGCCGCTTTGGTTCGCCAAAGGATGGCCCATGCATGCGCAATCGCGTTGTTGGGCTCCACCGCATCCCCATGGGTGGGAAGAGGCATCTGATGCCGGGGCAAGGTCCCACTTGCGCAAATTAGGAGATTTCGGCGACCGTTGATCTTTGCTATCTACGGTCAGTATCTTTTAATTCGTGCAAGTGGGACCTATCCCCGGCTCTGACGTGGGACTTGCGGCTGTCTGAGTATTTTTTTTTGGTGGTCAGAGTTGGCGAGCAGCGGCAGATAGAAATAGGCCAGTGGGCATTTCAAAAATGCCGCCCTGTCCTTCGGGACATCCGTTAAAATTGGAACGATACAGAGAAGATTAGCAGCAAGGCCCCTGGGGCTAGGTCCCACTTGCACGAATGAAGAGATACTGACCGTAGATAGCGAAGATCAACGGCCGAGAACTCCTAATTTGCGCAAGTGGGACGTAGCCCCTGCGCAAGGATGACATGCATAAATCGAGAAATGGTTCAAAAAAAAAAAAAAAAAAAAAAAAGCCGCCCTGAACTGTCGACGTACAGACCTGAGTTCAAATTGCACTGAAAAGCAGATAAGGGCCAGATCTGGCTGCCGAAGAGGATTGGAAAAGTGTCTGAATCTGGACGTGTTTGTGGATAGGCGTAAAAAACTGCGATTGATCTGCGTTTCTGCATCTCTGTGTGGAACAAGTCCAGATACAGACACTTATTCCAATCGTCTTTGCCAGTGGGATCCGGCCCTAAAATATTACATACCAACGGGCCTAGCTCAGTTTTTCCAAGTTCGAATCCAGATACGATCAGATGACCAGATTATAGTTTTTTTTTTTTTGGAAATTATAATAATTCTGAATTACCCGGGGCCAAGTCCCACTAGGAGCGTTGAGCTACCTCAACGCCTGAATCTGGACGCTGTTGCGGAGATGTGCAGAAATGGTGTTGAGTTTCCTGAACTGCACGTCTCCACAAACACGTCCAGATTGAGTTGCTAGTGGGACATGGCCCCAGAGGGCGGTCAGTTCAATGATGAAAAAACGGAAAACAAAAAGGACTACAATTTTGAATTACCTACGGCCGGCCAGGTCGATGATGATGTGTCAAGGGCATTCGCCGTGAAAAAAAAAGAAGGAAAAAAAGATCCCGCGAAGTGCAGGACCGGGGGTGAGGTCCCACTAGCAAAGAGGGTTGGATAAATATTCTGAATCTGGACGTGTTTTAAGCAGAGATGCGGAAGAGCAGTTCAATCTCGACATTAAGGATGCCATCGTTTTTCACTCACGTGCCACCCCATCCAAACTCTCCACAAATCGAGCCCATGTATCTGGCTTAGTTTGGGCGCCAGATAAGGGCGGGGAAAAAAAAAAACCGGCGAATCCGATATGGGCAAAAGAAACGGTTGACTACCTTTCTCGGCCTTTTGGCTAAGGCTTGGACCCCACTGCTCGGCGGTTGGAAAACATGTTCGGCCGCGGAAAACGGCGAACGCCGTCTGGAAAACCATTTCCAGAAAATGTCGAGACCCCACGGCCACGGTCTTGCCGGCTTCTTGGAAAATGACTTCCATTCCCGAAATGGAAATTTGGGAAGGTCGCCTTGCGAAATGGAAAGTGTTGTGAACCAAGTGGTCCAGCTCCGTGCCCTGGCACGGCATCTGAAGAGATGCCCTGGTACGGCATCTCAAGAGCTCCGTGCACTGGACCAGGCCGCCCGTGCCCTGGTACGGCATCTCAAGAGATGCCCCCCCCCCCTTTCAACAAACAATGGTTTTGGAAAACTGTCACGACAGTCCGGCATTGGCAGCGGGGTCCCGATTTTGCATTGGCGCACCTTCCTGGCGGTCCAGTGGGGTCCCCTAAACATGGAAATGGAAAATGAGTTCCACGCCGCCGGCCAGTGGGGTCCAAGCCTAAGATCAATTGTAGCATCTGTTCTGATCCGTGGTCCATTGGGCCAAATTTGCAAAAAAAAAAAAAACAAAAAAAAACGGTTGGCCTGCCGCCTGCTGCCGTGAGAGGTGGAAGGGGTGGAAGGAGAAGACCGGATTAGATTGATTTTTTTTTTTATTTTTTTTTTATTTTATTTTTTTTTTTTAAGTTGGACCGTTTCCCGATTTATGCGTGTCATCCTTGCGCAGGGGCCGTGCTGCTAATCTTCTCTGTATCGTTCCAATTTTAACGGATGTCCCGAAGGACAGACCGAATCCGGATCAGATTCGTGCATGCTACTATAGGAGTTTTTCTCCAAGGCTCTGGACGTGATTGCGGTCAGATTCATCCAGGTCTGGCCGTCTGACTGCAATCACGTCCAGAGCTTTGGAGAAAATGTCTTTTTTTTTTTTTTTTTCTGTTCTGTAGGTCGTACACTCTCTGTATCTAGGAATGCAGATGACTCACTCAACCTGGATGATGAGAAAATGCCTTAGGGGCAGATCCCACTGGCAAAGAGGATTGGAAAAAGTGGCTGAATCTGGACGTGTTCTACACGGAGATGCAGAAAAGCAGATCAGTCTCAATGTTTTGCACATCTCCGCGAACACGTCCAGATTCAGACACTTTTTTGCATCCTCTTTGCCAGTGGGATCTGGTCCTTGGTTACGCCCTCAGCTGGGCCCGTTGATAATTGAAAGAAAAGAGAAAAATATTCCTTACCAACGGGCCTAGCTGAGGGTGTGTGCACTAGCACGACGACATGTCCTGCAAGGCTCCGGACCTGATTGCTGTCAGATGCGTCCATGTGGGGCCGCAATTGCAGTCAGATGCAAGTACGGCCAGACCTGGATGATTCTAATCCCAATCACCTTCAGAGCGTCAAATAAAAAGGGGCTGGCATAAAAAAAGAAAAAAAAAAAGAGAAAAAAAAGAAAAAGGGGCTCGCTCCACTACACAGCACTCTACATGCATGTGGACCCTTTCTGGAACCGACAAATTCAGAATGGAGGCACCAGGTTCACAAAGACGTCCAAATCCAAATGCATGTTGTCGAGTGTTGTGTAGTGGAGATGTTGTGTAGTGGAGAGAGGCCCGAAGTCGGAGTATTAGACTGCGACAAGTCTGTTTGTGTCCTTTCGTGAGTCTGTTCGTGTCTTTTCGTGAGTTTTTTCGTGAGTCTGTTCGTGTCTTTTCGTCTCCCACCTCGCAAGGCAGGAGGCGCGCGAGGTGGGTGTTATGTGCGCAAGCATTTCTACTGCCTACCAAGTGGAGAGCCAAACCTCTTGCCTTTCTTTTTTTTTTTTCATGTTCTTGCGTCCGTACCTCATGTGTCCCTGCATGTGTGGTGTCCAGATGCACAGAATGAACCAGCAGGAGTACTTGCCGTCCATTTGCCATCTGTCATTGTGCCCACAGCTTCTTCCCCTGTCGCACTGCCGGGCCTTCTCCCCGAGGCCCGCAAAAAAAGGATAAAGTCAAGTCACTCGACTTTTTGAAGTTGAGTGGGGTGGTGCTTGTACATTCTTCTGTAGGAGGCAGGGGCCTCTTTTGTAGGAGGCGGATCCCCACTGCGGCCCATGCTGAACCTCCAGCGTGGGGTTTTTGTTTTGTTTGGCTGGCTGCCTACCTTCGTCCCCCGAATACAACGTACAGTCATTATAGCTGTAGTTGGGGTATCTCTCAGTCTACATACAGCTATAATGACCGTACGCTGTATTTGGGGGAAGAAGGTAGCCATTTGGTCCGGTTGCCCGCAGCCTGTGTTTTTTTTGGAGAGGTTCAATCGTGATTCTCAAACTTAGCTGGGGCCATGTACTGGTGCCATGTACTGGTGCCTTTTTTTTTTTTTTTTTTTTTTTAAGGCTAATTCTTTCTAAGCCCAACCAATTCAATTACCTGTCGAATCTGGACAGGATGACCTTTCAGGCCTTTTTTATTGTAATTATAGTATTATGGGGAACCCCGTAGCTGCCACGTCCGCGCTCAAGCCTCCAACGAGGGAACATGCGCGAGCTGCACCCACCAGCAGGTGCGATACCTGCTACAGCTGCACCCACCAGCAGGTGCGATACCTGCTACAGCTGCACCCACCAGCAGGTGCGATACCTGCTACGGCTGCACCCACCAGCAGCTGCGATACCTGCTACAGCTGCACCCACCAGCAGGTGGGCGATACCGGTCAGGGGTCAGTCGGTAGCAATGGGGCCGAGCTGCTTCGATGGGCCGGTTGCTGTGCCTCCCCTCCGGTCCCCTCCCCCTATGGACATCAGCTGTCTCTGTTCAATGCCACTCGGGGGAACCAATGGCCTTTCTCTAGGTGGCGGGCGCCAAGCTTGCCCAGGAAGGTACATGAGGCCCATTGGGATTGAACCCAAGACCACTTGCGCGCCTTACCAACTGAGTTAGGCCGCTGGATGTACTGGTGGTTTAAACTGCCAGTACACGGCCCCAGCCTTGCTGAAAGAAACCAGAGGCGTACAAAAAGTTTGGATGTACTGGTGGTTTAAACCGCCAGTACACGGCCCCGGCCTTGCTGAAAGAAACCAGAGGTGTACAAAAAGTTTGGAGGCCGAGGCTCGGCCTACCGGACCACAACCGCCGGCGGCGCCAGCCAACAAGAAGAAAGAGGCGCTGCTGAATCCGATGCCAATTGCAGGCAGGTTCATTCAAGAAAATCCTTGTGTACATTGCTGCCACTGAGATTGTTGAAAAAACTTGATGCGTAGTAAGGCCCCATCTTGCTGAAAAAGGAACTCGTAGGCTACAAAAATTTTGGAAGCTCAGCCTCCCGGATCACAATGGTTGGCGACGCCAGCCAAAAGAGAAGAAAAGTGCGCTGGTGGTGGGTTTGGAAAAGCTTGGCGCACAGTAAGGTGCCTGCAGGCCCGGGTACTCTGGTGGTTTTAAGGTTATTCAGAGCCCTTTTATGTTTCTCGGATTCCATTAGGATTTGAACCCCAGGTCTGTTTGCCAAACAGATGATGGGTGTACCATTCAGCCACATGGGCTGCGTGTTTCTTTTTCTTTTTTTTTTCTTTTTTTTCTGTAAGGATCGCTGAAAGATTGGTCTCGGCACCTTGAAGGGAAGTTACAAGATTGCCCTTTTGAAGTTAATGGCACCTTGAAGGGAATTTTCAAGACGTTTCAAGATTGCCTTGAAGAAGGAACCTACAGAATGGCCCTTGGAAGTTACTGGAAATTGCATCATTGCCCTTCAAACAAGGCCGGTAGAAAGTGCCCGGTATTGCATGCAGGGACAAGGTCCCAATAGCAAAGACAATTGGATTTAGCGCCTAAATCTGGACTTCTTTGGTGAGGATGTGCAGAAAATGATGATTGATCTGCTTTTCTGCATGTCTGCATAAAAGACATCCAGATTCAGGAGCTTCAGCACCAATACCTTACCCACACGTGAGTCATGGGCCCCACGGCCCGACGATGAAATTTATTTATCAACGGCGGCCCGGGGAAAGTTATGGATGTCAACGGGCTGCGTCTCTGAAAAATAGCTGGGAAAGGTACTCGCGGTTTAGTCCAATCCTCTTTGCTTGTGGGACCTCCCCTTAGGGGGGTTGGGACTTCGTGGGCCCAGATTCTTTTGGAACGGATAAACTGTGGAGGTTGATGATTGCAGCTGTCTTTCTTTCTTTTTTTTTTATACTTTTGGTTGCTATCTCTCATTCCGTGTTGGTAGTGGAATCATTGACGAATTGTGGACAAATCATACCTGCGGCGCACCTGTGCGGTGCACAATGCGGTGCGGGGCGTTGTGCGCTGTGCGGTGTGCTGTGCCAGGGTGCGCTGTGCCAGGGTGCGCTGTGCCAGGGTGCGCTGTGCGCCGGTGCGCTCGGGGTGTGCTGCAATTTTTTTTTTTTTTTTCCCCTTTGGTTCGGTGCAGAGGAAGCAATGTGCAGTTGAAAGTTATGACGCAGTGCCGACGAACCTCCACTCGCAGCTGCCAGTACTTCAACCCCCTGCCCGGATCTGTGCCATGGGGCCCATGGTCCGTGAAGTGTCTCTTCAACACTTCAGAATTGTGTTTCTGCGCCATTATGCCCTGCAAGCACAACCCCACAGTGAAGGTTGTGTCAGCCCCTTCATCAAACAGTCTCTCAAACTCCCTCAGACAGCCCTCTCCCACCCC